CCTGCAGTGTAATGCTTGTACTCTATCCGACTCAATCTTTACACCAGCAGCGTCAGCAAAGTGAATCGTCATTTCCAAGTCTCATTTAAAAAAGATAGGAAAATAAACAAATTTTCAGAAAGTGTAGTTACATCAGACTTTACAGAATTGGAGAGAGATTTGAATTTTTTTAAAATGTCGTAAAAATTTTTAATTTTTAGAAACCTATTTTTCACGGGTACATATTATTTACATAATTTGTGCAATAGCTTGAATAATATGAGAAAGTTCTCATTTATTTTGATAATTTACAAGTAGCTGCTCTTTTGCTGCGTGTAAATTTTAGCAGTGGATCACTACGTACGTTGAATTACTCTCTCTTCCTCTCTGTGTAAATATAATGGACTTTTTCGTAATAAAAACTCTGTTGGTTTAGACGAAATGTAATTGACAAGTGAGAATCATATTTCTTGAAAGGAACAGAATATTAACAGGATTTTATAAAATGGACGGAAAAACGGACCGAGTGGGTATCCATCCATATGCACCGTGTGTCTGTAAAGGTTTTTGTGAAGATGCTTGTCTTGTTAACTCGGTGGATGGATAATGGGACGGAGAATAAATAAAATAGCGACTCATTCTGGTGCATGGTGAATGATACAAAGATTACAAAGTCTATTAAATTACCTTACATTACACAGCAATGAATTTGTAGTAATAATAATGAGATGATCCTTCTCTTTTTCTTCTCGACAAGTTTAGCGCATTGGTGGACACACAAAAGGACTTGTGTGGTGAAAAAACAGGTTCTCAAAGGAAAAGCAATGGCAAGCAATGGGTGTAAGCAACTCTGAGCAAAGTAGCCAAAGTCAAATAATAAAAGTGTAAGTGCAAGCAAGCAGTAATCAAATCCAGTACAGTTCAATGTACATTATTCCATTGTATTGTGTCATTATTGCTCTGATGGATAATGAGAGAATGGTCACACAATGGCTCAAGCACCTTCAAACACATATCAACCAACTTCTCATTTCTCTGCTGCTGCTCCCATCCCCCTCAATTTCTGGTATGCACACAAAGCCTGCGATGATGCAGAGGCAGCAATGGTAGCAAAAGTAAGAAGAAGATGATCATAATCATCCTTTATTGATTCCATTTCTCAGCCGCACTCAAATTACAAGCTCCTTCTCACCGTCCTCCACGTCCACCACGACTCCCAGAGATGAGCTTCATCACTCCCAATCATAATCATCAGCTTCTTATATGAGCTTCTTATGTACGAGAACATAAACTCGATTGTCTCACATTGTTACGAATTCTGCAAAACAACTTGGCTTGCGAGTGGTGTGTAAAAATGCAATGCGGATTCTGCATTATTTATGAAGACGACAAAAGTGACGAGAGTACTCGGGTGGACATCTGCAGTCAACACAATGCCATTTGTGACGAAATTTTCGTCTATAATTAAGAATCGTATGTGTATTAGGAGAGGGACGAGATTAACAAATTTTTCTTGTACAAGTTAATTGAACAAACTGACAAGATTAGTAAAACCGTACGTGTGTTGCGGCTTTTGTAAATTATTAAATTCACTATTTTGTAAATATCTTGTGCAGTAGTAGACGATATTGCGGCGCAGGTCTTTTTGCTCCTTATTGTTCATGATGACAACGCTCATCTGAACTCGTTTGTTAAACTCTGTTGAAAAAAGCGAGTGTCTTCTCATAAGAGCGAAGAATGAGAAAACTCATTGTATTTTCTGATACTGTTCATCACCATCTTTTTTTCTATTTCATCTTCCTCGCGTCTTATTATGAGTTTGGTTTGAGTGACAAGAGTGGGTCTTGCAACACGTTAAATAATCATCCTCCCCTCATCATTACGCCCAACTCGGCAGTCAGTGATTTACCTGCCCGCCCGTTGTAACAAATTAAGGGGATTAGCTCCAACTCTGACCGGTCAGTGGTCAGGTAGTCAACGAAATTCATTTCCAATTCCACTAAACCAAATAATAATAAAGCACCACAGTTATCATTTTTGACCTGTGTGAATGAGCACATTTCTCTCCAACCCTATAATCATGCACAGAATCCGTGGTCATGAGACTGCACAAAAATGTGAAACCAGAAGCAAGAAATCCTGGGAAATGTCGACATTTCAAGACTTGTCTGCTATAACGATGATTTGATTTGATCACGATTTACGAACTTTATTAAAAACCGGGGCAATTTCCAGTGATTCGTAATTCGAATTTCCGTAATATTGGGAGATTTACTGCATCTTAAAGGTGACCTTTCATCAGTGGGTAGATTTATGCGATTATTCGAAAAATATATGCGAAACTTGACCTTAAAATGCATTATAGTACGAAAATTGAGATATTCTTATCTTAATCTTAATAAAAATTCATTCCTTACATAAAACACGGAGTGAATTGAATTAACATCACTCATGCATGCATAAGGTAGGTGCAGGTACTCATGGCTGCTCTGTTTTTCTTCTGATAACATGGTTTCTCGTGACACAAGTTCCTAAGATCACGCTATTCTCCATTGTTCACCGAGTACGACATGAGAAATGCAGGAAATTGCATCATTGGTCCAGTTGCTCTTAATTTAATAGTCATCATCGTTGTCATTCTCACAATTCGTCCATACACCCTTATTACTCGGCACATGAGACAGTGTGCAGTAGTAAATGTCTTCATTTTCAGGTGCAATCTGAAATTATTCAGTACCGAAAAAAATACAGCAAAGATACAAAGACACTTCATTCTACAACATATTCAACTAATTTGTGGAAGATATTTCCAAAAATTGGTTAAGCTATGAATGCGAATTAAATTAAAACATATTATGTCCTGTGTCAAATGCATCTTTTCGAGATTTTAGGTTTCTGTAAAGTATTTCACTCGCTAGTATGTACGCAGTGTCATTTTGGAGGATAAGCCTCCTTGTTGGATGTGATTGCCCTGCAAGAAGAGAAAGAAAAGAGGAATCTTCCAGCGAGACATAGCGATACCTCGTGTGTAAGATACTGTCTGGGCGGATTGGTTGGTGAATAATCCAACGAATGGATAATCTCATCAAATCAAGCGCCGATAAACTGTTCATTTAATAACCGTTTAATTTATCCAAACAGCGTTTACCTCAATCACACTCGTCTCGACTGCACTGTGATTATTATTATCATTTATTTCATTCTTCCCAAGTTTCTCGACTCCTTCGACTCCTACTAATCGTACAAGTTGAGAGTTGAGAGTCCTGCCTCATTGTTGAATTAAATTGGACACATTATTACTTCTTAAACGAATGCAACCCGTTTATCTGTAGCACCAGAGAGAGAATTTGTACGTATCTACGTATTGCAAAGACGAACCACTCATCTGTGGCTCCACATATCTGTACCCAAATTTTAAATAAATATTTCCGTCTTAATTGTAATCACATAAAATAACCATCTGGATCTGAATTGGATTTGGTCACGGATGAACTTCTCACCGTAATTGATCCCTAGCTCGGCCGTCGAGATGGAAGACGAGAGAGAGAGTTTGAGACAGTCTCTCGGAGGAGGAAAGTACACGTTGCCTAATAATATGAGGGAATCATGCAACCACAGTTTGGTTAATTCCTGGCCTTCTTGCGTATTTGATGGCCGGTCCTCCTCCTCCCTCAGTCACCGAACAAATCTTATTAGTTAGTACACACAGCCCGACAAGTGATTCACAGGAAGGCTGCACCTCTTCCCAATTCTCACGAGAGTCATGTTTTTCTGCAAATTTTGCGAAACCGAGGCAGAATCTGCAATCTTTTTAAAATAAAAAGTTGTATGAATGGAAGGATAATTGAGTGCTGTAAGTGAAACACGGGAGAAATAATCTTTATGCAGTATCGGATATAAGTAATTATTATTATCTTGCAAAATTTGCTCAAGTTGTGCGAAAATAAAAGTACTCGAATGAGGAAATATTTAAGTAAGTAACGATAATCATGGTCTGTGTAAAAGCACAATTTTGCAAATGGGATTATGTAGATATACGATTCATGTTACGCATTTATGTACTTATGTCTGTTCGTGGCTACATAAGTGAAGCATGCATCGGTCGGATGTGGCTGAACGTGGTGTTTATTTAATCCGGCGTCAGTTGTTGGTGGTTGTGGTCAGCTTGTTGGCAACCACCAATTTCCGAGCGTCTTATTATGCTTTGCCCATAACACGACGAGAAGTGTTCTCATGAGCAATTAATGTTCAACCGTGTCCGGCCTCACCTGAAACCGCCACTCGCCAACTACCTAAATTTACTAACAGCCAGTTAGTTCCACACAAACGAAACCGACACAAATTTCCACCTCCATCGAGTCAAATATTTGAGAACAATTACTCCCAATAAACAATTCTCCCTCTTTTAACTCGCCCTCATGTGTGCACTTTGAGTTATAAAAGTTGGAATAAAGGGTTGCAATACTGGAGCATATTTATACCAATATTTCTCCAGCATTGTAGACCCACCTGGAATTTTTGGTCAAATTTAATTATAGACGTGTATAATACTAACGAATATGTATGACCATGGAACGTCTAAAAATGCATCTTGTCCGTAATTTATTCATATTTCTCATCCTCGATTGACGTTTGGGCACATTTCGGATGACATTTTAAATTATTTATCGACATTTGCAAACTTTACAAAATTTTGATAAAAAACGAAACGCATCTTAAAAACTGTGTACAACAATAAATTGGACGGTAGACAAAAGTATTACTATTTCTTCATTTTTTAGACAATGTGAGACTCAAATGTGCATTCATGAAAGTTTCTAATTTTCAACCAGAGTTGCCCACTGCCTTCTGTCGACACAAGTCGGACCTAAAATCCCAATTCTCTTTTCTGCTCTTTCGCTTTCTCCGGTGGGAGGCAGTTGCATATAATTTCTCAACCTGAAATATGATCTCAAGTTGAGATTCTCAATCTTGGTTTAATTTGAGACATGACATTTCTTAAAAAAATAGGACACAATCAATACAAAAATTTTCAAACCAAGTTTATTGACACGGGAAATTTTGTACGCAACTCAACTATTTTTTTATACAATGAATGATATAAGGTTTTTAAGTATATAGACAGAGTTCACAAGTGATATAACATTATTGTATAATATTCAGCACAGTAAGAAATTGTGAACTTTGAGATTTGAGATAAATATATTTATAACTTATATTTTATGGTTGAGATATTTTTGATCATTTCAGATATAAGTAGTTTAGGTAATCCGGATTAGATAGATATGACTGAATGGATCATGTATATAGTTCACGAGGTACATATCAACGGGACATTTTCGTCTCTTTAATCAAACACTGTTCATCAAGTCAATTAAGTGATATCATGATATTTTACGTAGATGAAGTCATCGTCTTCGTCGCCGGGATAATAATCATTAGCACAGAGGTATGTTTAATTGTGGGTTAATAGGAGGAGGACAGGTATACAAATAACACGGTACAGTATTTAACTATGCACACATTGTAACGTTAGCTAGATAGGTATTTGTATATGTTTACATTGAAATGTTCATTAAAACTTGAGAGAAACTCTTTCAAGTCAGTTTTTGTAGTGAAACCTTAGCATTTAAAAAGGTCAACAATAGGAATTTCTTCCCAAGAGAACACGAATCTTGGACACATGAATTAATGGCAAGTCATTAGAAATAATCTCGGTTCTTGGGCACAATATTTTTTGTTATAATAATTTCCTTCATCATAAAAGTTATGTATAATACTCGAACTGATCACAATTGATATTGGTTGGAATATGAGTGTTCTTATTTAAAAGTAAGTAATAAATCAATAAAAGTTTTGTTTTTCCTACATATTTTACAACTTTTACAATGGAACTTTGAGGTAATTGTCGACCTATTAAAGCTATAGATTTTTTTTTGTAATACTAGATAAAGCGAAACCCATAATAATTTTTTCAACCTTGTGCACGTCCTGTTTATTAAAACACATGTATTTAGCAGAGCGAAAAAACGTGCAAACAAACCTAAACTGAGGAATAATGTGATAAAAATAATAATAATTACACCATAATTCAGAACAACGGCAAGAAAACGATTCGGTGAGTGGATGCATAATTTAGCAAAGCATCAGGTCTTGTTTGTTTTTAATCCTCCAACTCTTCATACTCCAAACTGTCGTCAACCTCTTGATCACTGCTCACGATGCGGAATGTTTCCAGAAACTCGTTGAGGTCAATTTTCCCGTCCTTGTTCATATCCATGCATCGTGCCATTTCGGCCATTTGCTGTTGCGGGATTGGCGATGCCAAATGCCGACCGAGGAGATCACACGCATCAGAAAACTCTTCCATTGATATGTAACCTGTTTGTTTTCATTAATATTTAGCAGACAATTTAAACTTTTATCATGAATGTTTCACATAAAAGGTGGAATTAAAAAAAGTTCTCTCAAACATAAAACTTTTTGTTTCCAACTTGTACACCCTTTACCAGAGTTGTCTTTGTCGATGATACGAAAAATGGATTCCAAACTCGTCTTATTCCTGTACAGAACGTCCACAACAGTGACATCCTCCTGGAATGAAAACAATACAATTTCTCAGGAAATTGCTACACAAGATAAAAATGCAATAACTAACGAAGTTTGGAGTGTAAGGGTATGCAAATAGTGGGACATCCATACGTAGGTATGCATGTACAGGGAATACAGGAGAGAGTAACACCGTCTTCTAACTTTGAACTTTGGCCTTTTTGTTCTTTCCTCATATTCTTTTTTTTTGAAGAACTAAATTCGACTACTTTCTCCGTTTAGTGCCATCGTATGCAATGGAGTGAAAGGCATCAAACGGTGATACAAGTAGAAAAGGAAACCACCACTACTGCTAGCCAACTCACTCAGGAGGAGTGGATGCAACAGAGCTCTTGGCTTTCCTCCCAGGCAAACGGTGGTGCGTGGGAATTTCCACTTGTATCGCATCCAGAAAAGCTTTTCGCCGAGGTATACGTATATTGTAATCTTTGTGAAATTCGTTCAAAAGCTCTTGATTTCCATATTCAATCTTTTTTCCTGCACATCGTGACATTTTTCAAATTATCAGAGTCAAACTCACTCAGAGAGAGGATTCATACGTACGTACGTAACGTCTATCAAGTACAACCGTATATATTAATGGGAAGTCAATTTGTGTCAAATTTATTGTCGGTTTCTTCTTCATGCTTGGTGTGACGCAATCGAGGAAATAGGATGGATTTGATTTTAGCCCTGGCATTTGACTGTTTCCTCCTTACAAGTTATGAATATTATGTGAAAGAATGCAGCCTTTAATTTATTCACGCTCTTCTATTTACTATAGTTCGACTAGTGAGGAATCCATTTGCGTTTAAATTATGAATACCAGGAATTTTCAATCATTTCATACTTCCCGTTATGAGTTTTTATTTGATTTGGGTACCTGTGTTGAAGTGGTTTCCGCTGTAAATGTTGAGTTATACTTGACAAACCCGGTGGGTAGGTCCAACTCGGCAACCCTGTCAATAAATTGTTTCTTTTTTTCGTATCGGTATAGGTTCATTTAGTTCTCCGGTGGTGTAGAAAAAAAAACATTTTCGAGCTTCACTCACCTAGGGCGAAGAAGTCTCCACGGAAGTTTCAGCTCCGTCGCTTGCTCAATCGTGATACACCAATCGTTCAAGCTGATCAGACCTGAAAAAAACGGCAAGGAACTTTTTTCTAACGAAAAATCAGATAAGACAGCAATCCGTTCAGTCAGACTAACTAGTATAAGAAATCTTTGGAAATCGTGGAAAAATCTCATAAAAAAGTCTCCCGTTCAAAAGGTGTGCATTTTTGCACACTACAGACGACTTGGTTCTTCTCCTGGCATGCAAATTTTATTGTGTTATACGTTTGACACTCACCCTTTGATTCTGGGTCGTGCGCTTTGAAAGCTTGAACTAGAACATCTTGTCTTTCACAGATTCGAGATCGAAGTTCTCGAATTGCTGATGCTTCGACAAGTCCGACACGTTGGCGAATAGTCATGTTCCTCAGTTTTGGCGTTGCAGCATTAAACTGGACAAAATACGGTTCCAGAGGTTCCGTTGGGCCTCCAATGAGCCGAACATATGCGCCCTTGTTTGACCCCTCTTCGTAGTAGTTTGACGCAGAGAATACTGTCAGACACTAGAATTCAAATTTATATAATATGTAATATGTGCACGTGTGCATAGCTTTGAGGGAAAGTCGGATATTGGAGGAAAATTGTGATGGTAATTCAACACTGTACATACATAGATGCGACAAGAAGTATTGGAAAAAATAACGAAATAAAATCTCATATACTTATGTACACAAGCTTTTCGGTTAAAATACCAAATTTCTGAAAGAATCCAAATTTCTGAAGTTAGTTTTCTCTTCTTGTGCATCCAGATACATATTCAGTTGCCTGGATTTGATTTCGAGGGCACTAGAATGTCTAGAGAAGCGAAACAAGTGGCACGAGGTACATAATAATAATTTCATACCTTATTATCATGCATGAACTCGTATCCTTCTGGCTTACACTGAAATCATACAAAAAAATCTCTCTCCTTTACACAACATTCGAATGATTATGTGCTCCAGCAGATCTGTTTGGCATTCGAGTTATCCATACCTCATGAGAGCGGATGAGAAGTTGCAATCCGTGCTTTTTTAACACCCTGTCAGTGACATCAGCTCCAAAATATGATCCCCCACCTCGAAAAGTGTTGGGTGAACATCCGACCCCGTTGGACGGGTCGGACCACAAAATGTCCAGCACCTTTTACGGATAATAAACATTAACGACTAGACCGCTATAAATTTGCCCATACGAAAATATATATGTTTCCATTTATATCATAATATCTAATCAGTGCCCGGTCTAAATCCGGGTACTAAATCTCCATTCGAAATTTGTAGACACATTTACAAAATTAACAACTGTCATCGAGCTGGAGCAGTCATCGTAAAAAATTGATAAGCTGACCGTTAAATATTATATTAGATTTAGCATCACCAATGTATTGCTCAGAGTTGTTCTTTATAATAAATCTGCCCCTGTTCTGTATGACTGACTACGTTTATTTGTGATGTGAAGTGACGCCACGGTTTGGAGTTTTAGGTGTCATAACCCTGATTTAGATACCACTAAAAAGACCCGTAACACATCAAAGGATGCATGCCTCGAATAAATTCGTTTTCTCCCATCAAAGCACAGCACAAAACACGGGTTTTAAGAGGGAAAAAAGTTGGCAGGCCTCTACCTTAAACGCATTAATGATGAAACGAAACGACTTTGATACGAGAAGGAGAAAGAGGTGGAAGAATGTGGCTGTAAAAGCTCATCACACAAACCATCGAGGCAGATTACTTTGCAGGCAGATATATTTACAAGGCTACATGACTCGTTGCAATTTGTTTTTCATTGTAAATTATGAACAACTTGCAATTTTTCATTTTAATGACTTGGCAGCTCATCCTACGAAGAAATCGAGATTGTCAGCCTGTCAGAGGCTCTGACTGCTTCTGCTACATGCATGAGCTCGTCGTGTTTTGTGTGACGATTGTTTTCCACAGACTTCTTCCTCCTCCTCCTTTCCCTTAATAAGAAGGACGACGAGACAATTACCTGTCTCCACTCGCTGGAGCTGCTCGTAGTTGAAGTATACAAATCAGAGAGTTGAATTATTCTCCCGTCTTCATCCATCGGAGGTCTTAGAATTGAGACATACTGCAAGACAGAGGAAACGGAAGTCAGACTCTTATCTCCGATATCATCATCAGTTAAAGGAACAGGGCCTGACATACAACTACGCGTATGCACATAACAACCCGTCAATCCACCTCCGGAGTATCCGGAGTCTCCATAAGCCGAGGGATGTGATGAATGGAGCTAGATTAGTATAAGGTTAAAGGGAAGTGATTTTGTGATGTATGTGTGTAATACAAAAGGCGTTAGGACATGGTTTTGACGAATTCGCGGGTGAATATCTCTGGCGGGGAGTTGAATTTTGAACTGATTTTTGGTCAGTTGTAAGATAATACTCTCAAAAAGATATATTTAAAATTTTAGGCCGATAGCTTTATAAATGCCCCCTCCAGTGCCCCCAGAGTTGGAAGGAGCCAAAAAAACACTTTCCAAACTGAATTACTCATATAGCATGATAACCTAAGAGGTCAGAGGTGAATGATTGTTAATATTACAACCCTAGATAATCATTGCATGTAATAATAAAAGAATCTACATGAATTACATAATGTTGGGCCTCCATCGTCGCTGATACTTTTTCATGAAAATTGATAAATTGGACCGTGCACAGGAAAATTGACCTGCTGACCTTGAACGCGGACCCACTCGGTCAAATGAAGATTGAGGGCAAAGCTCTAAGTGTCCCAAATAATATTAAATTAAACAGTGAAGATTTTGTGTAAACAGTTTTGGAGAACGACCCTAGCTAATCAGCTGTCGCGGAATCCTAAAAAACTCGTGAACTTATTTGGAAAATTAATGGTCAAATTTTTTAGAAAATAAATTTTACTAATCTTTTTGTGTCCCCTACTGCAGAACTATTTTATCTACAAGGTACAAGTGACAAAATAATAAAATTATTGCGTTTTGGTTAGTTAAATTATTTCTGAAGTTCGACATCGAAAACGACGGGAACTTTTCCAAAAATTTTATAAGGTCTGATGAAAACTCAGTCCGTGGGGTATAACCACTTATCAAAATTTTGTCAAAAGTACTTCAAGTGCAATATACTATATGTACCTTGGATAAAAACCACGTTAGGGATTTTTAGCATCAAAGTCGTAAAATGTGGGGGCCTTAAAAGTGGAAGAGTTGCGTTAAAGAGCGCATTCCATTAAGACAAGTTTGAAATTAGACTGCAAAACGGACTTAAAAGATACGCATAAGGCAAACGTGGTTTTATATAGTGAAAAGCATGCTAAGTCCCTTAAAAATAGTCGCAAAAAAAAAAAAAAAAACCTTTATTACAACCACTGGACCCCACGAATGGGCCATTACCCAGGGAGGGAGAAGAGTACCTGAGCTTGGCAGTGGGGAAAAACGAGAAAAACCCACTGCAGGCACTAGGACTTGAACCCAGCACCTCCATTCAGCCCACTCAGGTGGACGGTAAGCAGGACGGCATTTCTGCCACTCCGCCTCGTCACCCTTAACACCCTCAAAGACGATTTTTGCATCAGGACCTAAGAAAAAAATATTTAGTTCAACGCCATTTTATAAGAACACTGGTTTGGAAAACTAAAAAAGGACACCTCTCCAAATTTGACCTTGCCTCATTTCGCAGAGTACACAAAATCGGAAGCCAGATATGCTTACCTATAGTTTGAGACATGGGCTTTCACATAAAACAAGTTAGAAATCTCTACGACTAAAAACCATCCCGCAATTAAAGTATGAATTCGTCAAAACCATGTCCTAACGCCTTTTGTATGTAACGTATACCGCATAGGGCAGCCTGGTATAGAAGGAGCATTGTAATTTGGCATATTAGCCACCACTAAATCTGGTTTAGGCAGAGAGTGAGTGAGTGAAAGTCGTCGTGTAACACACCGTGTGCTTCCTCCTCCGAGGAAGGAATCCCCAGAACAGAGAAAACCAAATGTCGTGTCTGTAGTAGATCACGGAGAGAAGAACTACTCGTCGGGCATCGATAACCAGTAAGGGCAAAGACGACGAGGAGGAAACACTGTCCTGAGATGGATTTCGCATTTTACGACTACTTCACATGCAACGATTCCCACTTACCTCTCATGATATCAACTGCTGTCACCCTTCTTCTGCTGGATTCTCTCAAATATTCACCACTCCAACTGTCTCAATCACAGACGTTTCGCTACATGCATGCAGTTCTAGAATTGAGCTACTTTCCATATCTCCTCGTCCTCCAACTATGGAATAATATCCCAACTGTAATGAATTCGCTAATCATCTATTGACACAGAGTGATGAAATTCAAAAGCAAGCTAATTTCTTCTCCATTAATGAAATTATTTATTTAGGATCTCCCTTTTGAGAAAGTCCGTTTTCATCACCGTCGTCGTCGTCAATAAAGTTGAACAAGGTTGACAAGAGGGTGTGTGTAATAATGAGTAGGAAAGACTATGCAATTCGTCGAGGAGTCAACTAATCAATATGTTTGTTTTTCTTAAAACACAAAATTGCAAAGTTGCAAATTAAGTCATGCGTCTAGTCGTGCTTCATTAATTTATAAATGCTTGGAGTGACACTTTGTTTCATGTGTAATAATCCAACGAGCGGGGGAAAGGCTTACTTTATATCGATCGATATCACTAATGATTTTAAGGTCCGTGGTTTCCGATATCCCTCCATGGACGATAAGAACACGACCGTCAATAATTGTTCCCAAAGGTAAGCTTCGATAAACCTGGTCGATTAGGTGCAGCGCTTTTCCGGCGAAAACCTAGAAGTACAAGAAACCACGATGCGGAAAGTGAGAGGAGGAACACATCATTTTTAAGAGGGCATGGGAGGGCATTTAAACTAAAAATCCTGCTCGGGGGAAGTGAACAGTTCAATTATTAACAGAATCATCATTTATGAAAGGACCGATCTCTACGTATATATCAAGCATTATATTATCGTTATCGTTATTATTATTATATGAGCACCAATAACTTATAAGAACACAATAATGCACTTTTCAACAACCATATCCATCAAGTACTTAGTTAACCTCAATAATATCAAACGAAATAATGATGTCAATAAGCCTGGGTCCCAAATGTGATTGCCTTATTCGTCACAAACACACCAACGAGGCAAGGATTTTTTCCCCTCTCGAAAATGATATTTATTAACCCACTGAAATCCTCAAGAAACTGCTGAAACATCGAAATTGAAATTTACTTACATCACCTTTCATTCTCAGCATTACAGAAACGACAACTGACGTAACAAGCTGTAACAAAAGCAGATGAAGAGCCTTCTTCGCCCCCACCGCCGCAGCGCGAGCGTGGCAAAGTAATGATGCTTCAATGAAAGGTCGAGACGTGCGAATCTGAGTTGAATTAAGAAGTTGTATTCGTGCCTGCTGTGAGATTGTCTTATTCGTATTCTCGGCTAAAGGTGAACAGCGCAAGAGAAAGAGACGGAGAGAGAAAGCTGCCTTGTCGGAGTTATCGGGACTCATCCATGCAAAATCCTCTGATATATATACACTTCCCTTGGGAATATACCGTCTCAATCTACCCGAAATGACAATGAAAGTCGGAAATGGCTCTGCTGTTTTACGATCGCAAAATTCAACACAACCACGAAAGATAATGTGTGCTCATTCTACTTTTACAAGTATACATACATATTATGTACAATGGGTATTGCATTTTATGTAATATCTACATTTACACTCGAGACACGGTTGGTGAGCTTTATAAACTTAACTATGTGTTCAAACAACATCTCTCACATTAGTTGGAAAATACCTAGTTTTGAACGGCAGGATGACGGTGCTGGTTAAGTTTTTTCAATTCTAGAAGAAGAAACACCCGATCTTGTAAAATTCCCGTGGGACTGGGTGGAATTATCAGCAGCGGTGATAATACTTGTATAATAATAACTAAGCTTATCTCTCCTCCAAGAGTTAATTAATTAACGATGAGTTTTTCCCAAGCGTAAAGTTCAATCATGGTTTTATAAGAGAAGATGTGACCTTTGTACGTTTCTAGAAGGGAAAGTTTTCCTCACTTTAAGCCAAAGGCGTAAATGCTGAGGATAAACTTTTAAAAGTCTGAGACCACAGAGAACCGCGGAGTAAGGTAAGCTGGAGAAAGTACCCAAGAAGAAATAGGCTTCTCCTATTACCAGGCACACAACTTAAACTCCCACCACCACTAGAGAAAATCCAACACTTTCCCAGATTTCGGTTTTACAAAGGCTTTATCTTCTTTTGGAAATGCGTTTTACTCAATTACAGCGAACAATAAAAAGAGCTTCGTTACTTCAACACTGGGAGAAAGTCGGCGTCGATATAGCGACTCAATTTCAAGACAGATGGAAGGAAACTAAATAAAATGCAGCTTACAAATCAAGGCTATGTAGTAGATAAACTCTTCCTTCAAATACCCAATTTCGATAGTTGATTGCGGCAAGTGAACAATAATGGTTTGTTTAACAGCTTCAAATATCCAGTGCAAGAATGAGTTATGAATTGTGACCTGTCGTCGTTCTAGAGATAACAACCATATGTACTTAGAAATGGTTCACATAAAATTCCAGCTAACCAAACCGGCATGCCGACCATTACCCTATGCCCTATACATACATACATCATGTGAGAGAAGGTCACATGCAGCTGCAAACTCTTTATTGTAATCTTTTGGCATCTTTTTCCAAGAAAATTGGATATTTTGCTGAGCTAAAGCAAGACGGCGACTAAATTCCACAATGACAATCGATACACATTCAAATCGGGTCATGAAATTCCTTTTCCTACTTCTTCTCCTCTCCTCGGAGAGGAAAGAAGAACCAATTCTCTCCAGGATACGTAATGCAGTCGACTGAGGCAGAAGATTCTCGAGGAGTTTTTGAGAGTTAGCTGTGCGAGACGAGTTTAATTTTCTCGAGTTGCTCAACATGGAGCTACGTTGTGGGAAAATAGCTTGACATTTTCCGGAATTGCTCCAATGAGCTTTAAACGTGGATGGTCTTTTTCCAGGGTATGATCCCGACTGACCTGTCTTTGGCAGTTCGTTGAGTTAATCCATGTTGGTGGTTGAGAATGAAAATATGGTATTTAAGCACCACCACCACCACGGCCAGCCGCACTGGTCAAGGACTTTGCTTCCGTGTTTACTTGACATTTATATTCCGATCTTGCTGTGAAGTGAAAGTCTCTCTTTTCTCCCCGAACCAAAAGACAATCTTACGCAACAACACTTTTAATGGGAAATCTAGCCGAGAACAAACCCCGATGATCAAAAAGCGGTTGCTTGATGCTGTCAGTCTCAGTACTGTACAATTTTTTAAATCCAACCAAACTAACACTAAGAATCACTCAGCCCTGATAGAAAATTCCGGTTAAAAGTTTCAATGCTGTGTAAAAGCTTTTGACAGATGCTCCAGATACCACATACTTTCAAACTAACTACATTAACCTACACTTGACGGGCCAGTAATAATATTAGATTCGGTTGACCTATATGCCTAAAGAATTTAATTTTGCTGGCTTGTAAGAGTTTTGTTAAAACTCGAGGCCTCCACTCGCCATCCAAGGTTAAGTGGTCCAGACGACGACTCTAATCAAATTGGCAACATCCATCCCCATTCCCGGCAACATCCCAAACTCGACCCGACAGATCCAAATTAGTTCATTTTGAGACCCATTACTTATAAGTAAGTAATAATGTCCAGAAAATTCAGTACCATCAATTTACTCGTGATTACTCCTGAGCCAGTTGAATGTGTAAGGTCGGAGAATCCTTGTGTTGTTTCAAGAGAGGACTTTCCCCAGTTTACGACACTCCAAAGACAACAACAACAAGATCCTTTCAAGTCATAAATTTGAAAATTACAGTTACTTCTCAATGCTGCTGCTTTAGCCTTCTTATTAAACTCTCTCTCTCGTCGTGGTAAGTAGAAGTAAGAATTACGTAGCCTAGGTACGTATTTAGTCCGGTGCAAAGTAGTTTCCAAGTGGATTTCTTAAAGGTGGTTTGCCTAAACTCTATACGTCAACTCTCATTAGCAATTCACTTCATTTTATCAACAAGGTAATAAGAAGACGAGAAACTTATTGAAAATTAATGAGAATGGGGCATCCTTCCTCTTCATAATAAGTGAGACAATGGGGAAGTACTTAATTGTGTTTCCGGTGAGTGTTGTTTATGTAAACTTATGCCTAACCGAGTTATCAACTTTCGCTCGAGAGAGACAATAACTTTCTGATTCCAACCAAAGTGAGTGAGTAAGTATTCGTAATAATAATAATACTCCTGCTGGGCCTCAATTAGAATACGACAGCTGAAGAAACATTTTCCCAGTTGTCTACTTTCACTAGTCCATTTCATGACGGGAACAAGAAGTAAGTTGTGACATTTGCCAAGTTTTAATATTACCTTGAGGGACAATAAGTCGGAACAAGGAGAACAACTGGATTGAGACCTCATAAGCTTATTCTTTACATTTCTTTATTATTATTACATCAACTTAATGCTCTTTGAACGAAGGCTTGGAATGAATACGTACATATCCAGCGAACAAAGAGGATGACAAAGGATATAAAATCAAACTAAAAGCTTGTTGTAATAAAAGTTGTTCAATCAGCGAAACAAATTATTTATTGTTGTGTCACTCGCGTACACAATTTTCTCAAGTTGGAAATATCGTTTCCTTTGGATATGTATTTTTTTAAAGTGAGTCAAGGCAGAGCAGGGAGACATATGTATTTACGTACATAGCACGGCAGCAGCGTGGTTGGATAAATCGTCGCAAGGTCGATAAATCAACGAGTGTGAGAGTATTGTGGTAAGTGTCAAAAGTTGAAAATGATAGAAAACGTTCGAAAATGTTTCCCATTTCTCTCACTTTCTTCTCTCGGTTCAACTTGTGCCATGTCGCACTCTCGAATCTTCTGTAGCAAATTGTTATTTACTTGAAGGAACTTTACCAAAGCGACACGTCGTCCACCAGAAATGTTTTCTTGTGGACAGCAGCAGCGCTTAAGCTGAATAGGAGACACAAGGAGCCAAGTAGCTCCTCCAACTCAAGTTATTTGCTGATACAATTGACTCAAGAGAGAAGTTGTACACAAAATTCACTCAAGCGAAACAATTGTCAGTTGGTCTGCTATTATTTGGTCTTGCAATCAAATTCGTTCATCCCCTCAAGTCATTTGGCAGAGGGACACACATTGTCTCACATTGTCCTTTTCTCTGCTGCACAAAATAAGAATAATGCTTCTGACTGATAAAATTCTGGGGAAAACTGAAAGATAATTGACTTTGTTCGATACATATGTAATAAGTTACGCGTTGTCATATCTGTCGTTGTCTCTTAAAAAATGTGTCCAGCATTATTCCTGCCACAAAAGAGCGACTTAACGGGGACAAGCGTTAAGTAGTTTACTGGATGCATGCACAACCTATCAATTACATCACAACGACAACCACCACCAGTATCACGGTGAGATTTGCAACTTCTTTGTGGTCCGTTGGTTTGTGGGGTTGCTAGTTATTTCAAGTCAACAAAGGAAATACAACGGCAACAAATTTGCTCCATTGTCTTTTTCTGTGTCAATTGCACCAGAGGGAAAATTGGTTGGTTTGTGATTGAAGTGGAAGTGAACCAACCAACCAACCAACCAACTCCTTTTCCTCTGCTGCTTCCAGAGAGGTAAAAGACTAGAAGATTAAATCTTGCTGCTTACCTTATACTTCAGACGCACCTCTCGAATGAATCCGTATCTACAAAGGACGGAAATAACTGAATTTATTTTATACTCGGTAATCACCAAACAGAAAACAACCCCCCAACTAGTCAACTTTCACGATCTTTGTTCTTTATCCTTTGAGTGAGTGGGTGAGGAATGAGATGGGAAATTGCAAATCAAAGGCTGGTAGATATCAAACCGAGGGTTTCTTTCAAGATTGATCGTATGTGTACATGCTACATAAATAGTAAGGATCAAAATCCTCACACTTTTATGTGATTGCATATCTCCTTGACAGTTTCCTGCTTGCTGCTTTTTGGCAAGAGAATAAAATAACTTGGCCTCTCCACTCCACATTGTCAAAATTATGAGAAAAGAGACTCGGGATTCATATTTTAACCCTGGGCTGACACTGAACAAGAGTTCCGGAATAATTTACATTTGATGGTCCGAATAGGGAATAACATTCATGAGGTTTGACTTTCTCTAGGCGTGCAATAATCTTAAACAAGCATCTCCACCAATTGTTCAAGTCGGAAGAACATATACGTGAGAACATGTACAAGAGATGAATCCGACGGGATTTAAATAATTCAGGCTCAACTAATAGATTACAAGTGTAAGAAGAGGAAAGCCGTGGTGGAAAGTTTGGTGGTGGGTGGCAATGTCCAAGATTAGACTTTAATGAGCCCCGTCACTCAGGCCAGCGGAAAATGAGGATAACCGCACAAACCTTACCTCATGTTCATGATGTGATCCTCGTGGTTGCCACGGTTGAGATAAACGGCGTCAGGGCTGAGAAGAAAGCATGAGAGGAGAATAAGAAAGATTTCCATCGACCTCCGACCTCGGTCCACGTAGTCCCCGTTGAAAACTGTGCAATTTTCACAAAGGTTTCACACGTACGTTCAGCAATTTTTTCACGACACAAGTTTTTTTTACTTGTGGAAAACTCTTAGTAAAACCATGAGAAATAAAAAAAATTCCACTAACCGTACGGGTTCTCGGGTGATGGCAATCCGTTCTGCACCAAAAATTAAGGACATGACACATTATTATTATGCATTATCTTCTCCTCTTATCCTTACCCTATTTTACAATGGACTTGTGGAAGTAATACTCATGAAGGATTATTATAAGACTTTCTAGCTCCAGGCTGGCTTATGAATACTTATGATGCAAGATGATTATAACACCGCGTGCACTTTATACTCTCACCTCCACCGCCTACGTACTTTCTCCCGACATAATTATCGACATTTCCACCACAAAATGAGCGGATGATACAATGATTCCCAATTAAAGTTAAGCAAAAGCGAGGATTGTCAGTGGTTAGACAATTTGCAATCTATGAATAAAGATAGCACTAAACCTTGCATATTACACAGTCTGATAACCTTATTACCTTGCGTTTACACCGCAAGAAATGCATACCTACGTTTATGGTGTGATACATAAAATCCTTCCACAAGAATATTTCGCATTTGCATAATGCACACATTAAATTGTCTTCCAGGTAAGATTTTAGTTTTAATTAAGCACGAAACAGCACCAGCAATAGCATGGCTCAACAGGATGTCAGATTTTTATGGGTAATTAAGTTACAACTTGGATTTAAATTGCATTCTTTACCACCCATCATTCAGCCTGCTAAGGTAGATAACCCAAAGTGGTTGGTGCCACAGTAATTCCCCCGGCGCGTCGTTGCCTCGAGAGTTTATGCAGCCTTCTTACTGCTGGAGTTAGTCCCCTAAATCTAGGCCAAGCCAGGTATGTAGTATTTTAGCTATTAATCGTAGATAAGTGCTTCCTAGGCATAAATCACAATTAAACACTGTCTTCTCACTCGTACAAATACGTTTATATCCCACAAAACCAGTGATGAAATCCTGGAGAGGAAATGTGCAAATTAAGTGGTAGTCGTAGTGGCTTTGTTCTAATGAAAGATATCCACAACCAACCACGACCACCACTTTCTCTAAAAGAACTAAATATTCATACTGCTTAACTCGAACAGTTTCCTCGACGTGCATTTAAAATCCGATGGAGCCATATTCACCGCCTTCACAAGAAAAATATGTTTCCTGAAAGTATGTAAAGCAGCAAAAGAAGAAGACGAAGGGAAAACCTTATGCAAAGCAGATTTCGTCCTTTTGAGACCTCATCTCCGTAATCTGAGATTTAACAGCCGTGTCTATTTGGCCGAATTGGTTTCATTAGGTGTTTATTAAACGGTGAGTCAGGTTTATTTAAAAAGGAGCTTCCTTATTACCACCAAATTATTGTTCACCGAATATTCGAATTCATCGCAAGTTTTCTAAGGGCCAAACGTATTAAATCCTGCATTCCTGTAAAGACCATGGAATGTATGCATGCCGAAATGTGAACATAAAACCTTCCAAATAATATCGTGCATAAATAAGCCGAGAAAAATGGTAAACTCCATTATGCAAATTACTAGATATTACAGGGTCATAAAATGAGCTTCGTGTCATAAAATAATCCAACAGCGTTGATAACACAACAACCACTTAATAGCGACATTCTTAACAACGGTATAATTAAAATGTCGAATGCTGTGTAAATACATACATATTATATTTAGTACGTGGCCCTAATTCTAACCAACCAACTAAGCAGTACACTAATAAATATGTGCATTATATTGAATACACGACCAACCCATTAGACAACGAAAACAAAATGAAGGCACCCACAACACAAAGCCGAAGCTTCTCTATTGTATCGATTATCTCCTCCTGCGTGGGTTGCATGCTTAGAAATTACATGACGGATCGGACAGTCCAATAAAAACTGCGTTCGTCACATTTGATGAGAATTATGTGCTAAAGTTCACCAATACTTTCAACATTTATTAGGAAATGACTTTCCCAGTGTCACTTATTTATTTTGCAATAATAATGCAGATATAATGGAAAGTGACATTTGCGTGTGGCTGGAGAGTCACAGATATTGAATTTGCAAATAATTATTGGGATGGACAAATATATTTATGTCAGATTAGATACCATATTTTGCTAGATTAGCTGCTCCATTTACATGATAAGACTCATTCCCCGAGCTAACTAACCATGAGCTAATAATCACTTGGTATGTCAACTGCTTCAAATAATTATAGAAATTAATATATCTGTCAGTTACATAAGCGGGGATGAAATGGGTGTCACGCCCACTTTATGCCAAATGCTCGGAAATATGATCAAGCCGGGTCGTGTATGCAAAATGCAAGTATCAATCATATGAAGAGAAAGCGATTGTAAAATAGTGGGAAACGGGGAAAGAAGATAATTTACATTTACATTTGGAGCATGTTGGTAACATTTGCCTTTTGAGCCTGGGCGTAGAGATAGGACAACAATGACTTGTATAATATTTAATAATATTATGCTGGCGAGGCAAAAGTAGGTAAAAGTGGATGGACGACGAGGATCCCCTGGTTTCTCGCGATCAAACGAACTCGGCCATGTCGAGGAATCAAGAATTTATATTTATTTGGGTGGTTTCATTACATCATATTCGCATTGACTGCTCGGTGTGGTTTGGGCAGTTGGGCAGTTGGTTCATTCATTAAACAAAGATGATTCGTACATGGAGGATTTGAATGGAAGCAAATGAACTCTTTCAAGCTGTGCATTGCTTATTCATTCATGCGCCTCTGCCTTAAACGAGGCTATTCACATGAAATTCCAATTCAATTGCCTCGTTTGCACAAGATTTGGAGGCTAATATTTCCAAAAATGGATGGTGGTTGGGTTCCTGACTGGCATCGTCGAAATTCATTTTAAAGTATAATAAGAATATGTGGCCTATTAGTCTTGGAAATGAAAATATTTATTTCAATGAAATCATAATATTGGGCGTACTCACGATAACGTCTTATTTAGCGTCGTAACTGGTTTAGAAAATTTATGAAGCTCGACAAATTTATGTCGTGAGGGGATTCGCAAAATATGACTTCATAAATTTCGCCAAGCTACTTATAAAACACGTGTTTTGATGTTGCTTCCACGGATTTCTGTAATTTCTCTCGCTGAAGATAATTTTGTGAAATGAAAACGTCCAGTTGCCGGATAAATTTACGAAAAAAATTCCAGCAAAAATTTTGCAAAATTTTGCAACTTATATTTATATGCTCAATTTTCGAGAAGGTTGATGTGAGTACGCTCATTACATATGTACAGATGACTTATATATTATTGCACTTGGAAAAACAACATTCCAAGTTATTTCCTGAGTGGAAATTCCCTTTATGCTACTTAATTTTCATACGTTATACAACTACGATTTAGGAAATTGCGAAAGAAAAATGATGTTACAAAGAACCAAGTGACTTCCAAATAAGGTTCCCAAGGGAGAAAAGATGCCATATGCAGCGAACGAAAATATAGAAAAGCTGGGAATAACTTGATGACTTGAGGAGCATCGTTTTCAAAGCATTCAAAAATATGTATACATACATATTCAGCTAAAAAAAAAAGTAGAAACGCAAACATGCGACCCACAGCAAGTATTTATTGTATGTATGAGAAGGAGCAAATAAAAATAGTGGTTAGCCCTTTGAATATTGCGATCAAAGTCAATTTTTTACCAGTCCTGCAAATTGACCAGACTTGAAAACAGGAATAAAATGCCGAAATGATCCCCTCCTGAGAGATCAGTCTACTCCATCAATTTCCCTACAACTCAAATATTTACAATCTTCTTGAGTTTCTCTGTTAGGAGCAGTAAGTGAAAGTCATACGTCCAATCCTGCAGTCCTGTTTATTTGTGTACGTATGTAGGTGTGCACTGCTGCATTGTTTCCCTTTCGCAATTTTTCCACGATAATTTTATACTCGATTTTGCCCTAAATTTATAGCCATGTGAGAATTTGAAGTACACAAACCTTATAAAATACGACCAAAAGGTCGTCCAATTTGCCATGTAGGTCTCCACAGATAGTGATTTGCTTGGAAAGGGCTGTCGATGGCTGGTTGAAGTTTGGTCGTCCCCTCAGAGCAGCAGCAGCAGCACGAAGTATTAGAGCAACGTAGCGGATGTGGAGTATCTGTTGAGGAAATACATAATAACTTGGTCGCATCATTCAAGTACATACACAGCCCATCATTCAATGCCAACAACAACTCCCACCAGCACTTGGAATTATGGAAATTTCAAGATTCAACTGTTTCAGGGCAGACCGTGTGGTAGTCTCATCCGAGAATGAGTGATAGTTATTATTATGAAATACATCAGCACACGATCGTGAAAGTGGTTATTGTGTTGAACTGATTGAATACAAGAGGAGAGCTTTCCCATTGTATCACGTTCCTGATGTTCCTCGCATTCAGGGAAATATATTCCGGGCTCGAAAGTGACGAATGGTGTCTCTGTGCAAGCCTCATCAGAGAGCAATCTTTCACCAGACATTATTACTCCTCTACTCTTACCTACACCCACCCACCCACCATCGCCACCACCATCACACCACCGGGATCGGGATCAATTCTACGGCAGAGAATGGGTCAGGCTCTGAATTGTGGAACAACAAGGTCAAAGGTGCTCTCAGATTAACTGCTTTGACAACATGGAAAAGCTTTTGTTCTGTCTTCCCCTTCCAAAACTCATTCGCCCCACAACCACAACCACTCCAAAGTTTTTAGAAACCACAATTTATGGCAAAAACCAATTGGCAAAACACACACTACAATTAAGTAAATAAAGTGAGGAGTGAAATTCAGTCCTATTGCGTAAACTACTTACTCTGTTCTTTTTTATTTAAACTTGATTTTGCAAGTGATTTAACAGATCCCAATCCCCACATTTGCATGAACCATGTTTTTCAAGAAAATTCAGCTCGACTCGGGTTATTGTGAAGTTTGATTTTGAAAAAGATAAATTCATGTAAGCATTAAATGAAGCCGAGTTTTGTCAGAGTCATAAATTTGCCAGTTTTACAACGCGGCTGTGGCATTTCCTACAACAACGAACGAAACCGTCTCAATACTGCGCCCCCTTTTTCTTCGCTCATATGTGATGATGATTAATGGCCATGGAAGTAAAAGCCATCTCTGAGAGAAAGCAGCCAAAGAAGAAATGGGGCTGCACACGATTCCATTTGTTTACGACTTCCCTTAAACCAAACCTACCACATCGCACAATGTCCTCCAAGTCATAAAACGATTTGCATATTTACTTTCCACTCTTCCTGACTTTTGTTGATATGGGCATGGTGGGCGTTGTGATAAAAATAAGTGACAAATTTTTAAACTATGTATGCTGGCATGCTCACGTAAAGGAAAGTGTAGGCCCAGTGATGATAACGTTGTTATTAAATATCATGGCGAAACAAGAATTGCGTAAATGATTCGGAAGCATAGAATAAGAGTCGGTTTGTAAGGAAAAATTTGCTGGTTTGCTAGTGTTTTCCGTGGTACATGAGTCCTGAGAATGTTTTTAAAACATGAATTTTTTCCACTTGGTAAATAACTAAAAAAATTATTACGTCATTTATTACGTCGGTTTTTGTATGTATACATTTGAAGTATGTAACAATTCAATACATTAATGACGCATATTTCATCGTTTTTGAGAAAAATTTACTCTGCTGAGACTAACAAGGATAAATTTTTATGTTTGCTAAAGATATTAGCAAAACAAAGGCGTGCTATTGCTACAATTATTAACCATTAAATACAGAGGGTGGAACGAGATTATGGTAAAAATCTAATGGAAATTTTGAAGAACACACACCATAACATTTTTGATAATTTGTATGTGTTCTCCATGAAAAATTGACGTATAATCAGCTTTCATTTAAAAAAGTAAGAATCTTCGAAACAGATTTCACTTTTCTTACGAGAACTCATGGTGCAAATTTTGCAAAAGTCTACCTAGAATTCTCACTTATTGTAAACTGCTTTTCTGCATGGTCATCAGCGTAATTTTACATTTTTGAAAGTTTTGGGATGCAGTTTATTAATGATTTTTATCCACGCGATTATCTGTCTGAAATTATGGGGTATTTGGAATAGATGGAACCATCTCAAAGGCATTGACCACACAATTTTATTTACCATAATCTTGCCGCACCCTGTGCAGAATGACGCTTGACTATTTGGACATTTTCGGTCCCAGTGAGTGCATAAGGCATGGCCCAAGGTACCATTTTGTTTCTTTTCAAACAAGTTCAGCTTGACTTGGGCCCAATAATCTGATTAATCTTGCCCTTTTATCCTCAACATTTCTCCTGTCGCACGGAGTATCCGGGAGTTGATGAACACTGAATAATTTTATCGCTCTCAATCATCTTTCCACTCACCACTTTCTCTCATGCACTAATTCGTAATTCCATAAATGCCAATTCCAATCCTGAAAGCAATAATTGTGTGTTCACAAGGCAAGAATAACAACACGTATAAATCGTCACGTAGAGAAAGCTTTGTCTGTCAAGATTAATTTTTAAACTTGACATAAATCTAGATAACCAGATTGCAAAATAAGTATGTATGCGAGCCGTTATATTGAAATAGAGCGAGAGTAAATATAATTTCCGCAGCCGTAACCGTCAACTGGGAAGTGTTTATGTATCCCCAATAATAATATATTTCAAGGGTTAATAATGACCCTCCTTCGTCTACTGGATAAAATTCTTAATTTCCGATCCATACCGTGTACGACGACTACTAAATGTGCAGAGTTACTTGCTCCACTACTGGTTTCCTTGGACTGAAGAGCGTAGACTAAAATTAGAGTGAGAGGAAAACTACCAGTCAACCTGACAAGAACAATTGATTACTAACTTTCTCTTTGGTCTGAAGTCTGGCCGATATTCTAGAATTTGGTATTAAAGATAGGCTTGATTTTTGTATTGATTGTGTGGAACGCATTTCTTGGTTCAAATTGCGTGGGTTAGACGACCTTAATACGTAGTAGGTCTCAAAGATAAGTATGACGTAATAAACCGGTTTTCAAAATTCAGATTTCCGATTTATAACATTTCCAATTTTTAAAATTACAATCTCATCATGATGAAAGTGCACTCACCTTCTTGCTTTTGAACCCGTCAATTAATTCTTGCAAATTTTGAACCGTCATTGGAAGCTTGACATGCGGTCCTCTGTAATCACTTTCGACCATGATATCCTCCAACTCTACCGCCATTCCGCTCCCAGTGAACATTTTACGTTTTCGTAGCTTCATTCTGCCTCGAGATCCGCTTCCTTGTCCAGATACATCTGTGTGATTCGGAAACAGGTTGTTTTATTTATTCCTCTGATGATCAAATCACTCGTCATGTCACTCTCAATATTGAAAATGACACACGTCAACAAGTATATTGAAATTGATAACGGTGAACGAAGCACTTCTTTCATCGCTACTGGCAAATGGCATGGATAAGTAAGTCGTACGTAACTCTATAGAATTTTTTTATAGTCACCATTTTTTGCCATGTTACAATTTTTATACCTCCAGTCGAATTCTCCGACGAGTCCAGGGAAGCCGTTTCTAGCACCGAATCTCTCCCTGACGAACTATCCATCACCGGTTTTTGCGGAATGTGGGTGAGTAACGCGTTGAAAAAGTTGTACAGCTGTGTGATAAAAAAATATATAAATGTCACATGAATATGTACTGATAAGCAGGGGGGGAGGCTATCTTAATAATCGTAACAATGGGGAAAAGGGTCTCACTCACTTTCATTTGATCTTGTTCCCCAGCGTATCTACAGTTAACATAAATTAAAAAAATAATGTCGAGAGAACACATTTTGTAAATCATTCGGATGACTTAATTTCTTTTAATAAAATGCATAATATATGAATATATGTATATTTTTATTACTCAACAGTTTGGAAAATGTTCCACGTGTAACGACGACGGATCTCCATGCGAGCCAGATATTGTCGATACCATCGCTGGATCAAGATGGCTGCCTTCATGGCTAAAAGAGCATAATAATACATGTATGAGACGACATATCCGTGTAAACTGTGAAACTTTGAAGTGCTTCAGCACTGTCTTTTATTCAACAGCCAACTATTTTAATTTCAATCAATCCCTCAACTTTTTCACCCACCACCGTAATTCAGGCAAAGTAAATTAGACAAGTTGCAAAATTCGATAGGATTGAATCGAAAAACATTTATTTCTTCATACCGAGTTTGAAGCACTGGTGTGTCGTGCATTGTGTGAAAGTGCGAGATTTGGAGGAGAAAGGAGGAGAAAGTGAAAAACTGTGTTTCTGCGAAGACGATATTTTTGCTAGATAATGACAAACGGGTTTTCTCTCACTAATTCTCTCTCTCTGGTGATGGAGGTTCCTCTACAACATTTATTCCTCCTATGACTCACTCCCTCCTGATGGGACACAGGCAGCGTAGGATTGCTTTGTAAATTGTGAGGGAATGAAAATGTGCAAATAGTGATTGACATTTTAATAAAGCCTTTATTATCAACAATGTCAGACTCCAGAATAAGGCGTACGTACTACACTTTTCTCCTTCATGTCGTAACTAACGAAAGTATGGTGGACTACATTATAAGTATTTCAATGATGTCTGATAATCAGGAATCCGCTCCGGTATAGATAGTGAGCAACACTTTGGCAAAAATTTTCTTGTCCGTGGATCGCTCGATCGAGACCAAAGATTATAAATGTAAAGCTGTAATGACTTCGTGAGAAAAACAGGAAAAACTTCATCAAAAAATGATGGATCCGTCCACTCAAGGGGATAAATTTGCGAACATGAAAAATTTCTAGAAACTTTTTTTTCTTGCTTTCGCCAATTGTTCGTTGATAATTCGATTCAAGTTTAATGATAGGCTGCATTATAACAATATAGATACGACTTTTCAACGTATGCAGGCAAGATAATGAAGAATTAAGATTGGCATGCATGTCAGTAAAACAATATATGCAGAGAACCTGCAAAAGAAATTCTGGGTTTTTGGAGTGTGCTTAATTATGTGCTTAACTATTAAAGTTTTATTGATGTAGCCACGGCATTTGCAGGCATACAAAATTCATTTTTAAACATAATTAAAAATAAATATGCTTCGCTATTAAATTGCAAGCATGCCCTATTTTTCTCAGCCGGCGTGGTTCTCAGAGGGCTCGAAAATGCAAACATTTAGCGAGGAAAGGGAAACAACAAGGTGAAACAACTTGGTTGTTGTTGTTAATAGTTATGGAAGACAGGGGGATACCCGTCACACGCAGAAAACTGTCCAATCAATGCGAGATTTCATCCGGTGGAAATTGGATCGTGATCGTTACTATAAAATTGAACGGTATTCGTTCAGCTCTTTATGAGGCGTTTTCTTGTTGAAGTTTAAAAAGTGGTGAATTTACTCCCTTGGGAAATGTAGCAGCAATGCACAGCAACATGAACAGTTTACATTTATGGTAATGATTTGCAGACTCTAAATCCTATGATTTGCGGATTGCTCTTATCTCTACTATCTATTAATAGTGTCTCGAATTTGTGAATGGTGACAAAATATTGTTAAGTACGTAGGATTACAGACTCGGTTTTAGGGCGTATCGTGCCTAACACATTTCATTTCCCACAGTGCATGCCCCGTATTCATGTTGATAAACATGAAATAAGTTGAGTAAATTCCGCTTTGCTTCTCAATTGAATATTTTTTTTACTAATTTTGAGAAGCAAGATGGACCTGTTATTTATCCAAATTATTTCGCATTTATGAATGGTGAGCATGAACTGAAGTGAAAGTGTTGGGTATTAAATTCGATGATATGAATTGTGGGGAATGAAGTGTCCGGCACCACAGACTTTCACTCATCCCCAGCAGCAAACACCGCAATGAAATCATTGTTCAAAAATAAGTGTTATAGATTTTATTTGTCGTGGTTGGCCAAGTCGATGAACATAGTTTGCCAAGAATTCGAGTGACTTGGTAGACTGATGTGCAGTACATACATTATTCTGCACGTAACCAGTAAGCTATAGTCGTTCCGTTATGTCCATAGACAGCTCATCGTCCCGAGTTAGGATTGGGATTGGACGATGACGTTCTTAAATCAAATTGATAGTTTTTTGTACTGAAGACGTGAATTGAATGGTGGACCAAAATTTGATTTTTCCCTAGGATACGAACAGTCAGCCGTTGCGTTGCATTGCAGTCCCACCAATGTGTTCTTATCGAGATTGGTTAGAATTAGACAAATAACCCGAGGAATTGCAATTTTCGGGCTTAACTGAGACTCAGATCCGAACCAGACGTCTCATCCCTTCACATTGTGAATTTAACATTTGAAGTGGTTCTGATTTTTACAGCGAATACATCCATCACAGCATCGAAAACCTAACTTTACTTTCACCAAAATATCCACGAGTTACATAAGCTCTCGACGTTTCGATATTTCTCAGAGCATACTTTACTCCATCGTTTATTTATGGTGGGAAAGTACTCTGAGCTATTTTCGCAACTTAAATATTTTTGTCTCTAAATCGTATCCCATTTACAAAGTTCATAATTTATAGAACCAGCAACTTTAATTAATCTTCAACCCTTTATTCTTTTTCTTTGATTAAGAGCGAGAACTTGATGTCGACTCGAGATGCTGAAAAGTAAAGAAATACGAGACATTCCTTTTACTAAGATTTTAAGCAATCGACCCATAAAAAAACTGTGTCAAAACAAAACATTTAGAAAGGCAAACAGCTCTTACTTGTTCGCACTCCTAATTAATTTATAATGATGCCTTCTGACTGACTGACTGACTACCTTTGGGACCGAATAAGCAATCTGTTTAGGAATTATTACATACATATTTAATGACTTTTAGCAGAAACAAAGAGAAAGTGTCCGTTTGTCGTACCTAATTACCTAGCAAACCATTCTCCACTAACTTTCACCCTTTTTTTGCCTAACTCAGCGTTGCTAAATGTCATCAGGTTTATCTGCAGAGATCTCGCTCGAGTAGGCTGGCGAAACAATAAGACAAAGCATTAAATAGACAAATTTTTGCACAAGAGTGCCGGAGCCGATCCACCAACCAACCATCCCACGCGGCGCTACTCTGCACTCTCTGTGATGAGTCAACAATGTGACGTAACAGAAGAAAAGAAGACAAATATCTCGATCGAACAAACATTGTATTGTATGATTGGTAGAGCAGACGACAGAAGAGACGACGACGAGACGACGGAAAGGATACGCTTTTCATTCCGTCTAAAAGTATTGATTGGGATTGATTTTGTTATCTCAGATTAGTTTAGTTTTAGCTCTTCAAGTCCGCACCCTGCGATGAGGACGATGATGAAACCGGTGCTGAACTACAAGCCACACATTAAAAGGAACCACTTTCACAGTGAGACACGATTCCAAATATGTGCTGGCTTCTTCTAATGATAAGTCAGCTTTGATTTGGTTCAGAGAAAGAGCAAAGGGTATAAAAATACCACCAAGAAAAGGTCAACAACTATATACATTGTAAATTAGTGAGTTTCGTTTCTTTCCTTTATGGGTATGATGGGTTTATAAATAGCATTTGGAATCTTAGTCCATGAGAAATTAAAAAGGTTGGAATTAAATTAAAGGTAAAAACAATTAGGAGACATGCATTTGGAATCTTAAGGTTGAAATTAAATTAAAAGTAAAAAACAATTAGGAGAGATGTCGTCCTGTGTGACAAAAAATAAATCATGTGCATTGTTTCTGCTGGGATTCACGGCATAAAATGTGAGTCCTGGGGATAACCTTCTAAAATTTGTGTGCATGTGTGGGGTACATTTCATGTTATTCTTACCAATTGGACACGACCCAGTATGTGACATTCTGAGAAGTAGTTTTCCGTTTCCATATTTTTCATGTATGTATATTTTTCCACGAAATAAATACCAAGTCTCTTTTTTGCCCATAATTCAATGTAAAGTAGACATTTAACTTTAACCTTATCTTCCATCACGGAAATTGCAAACAAGACTTTGCGGCTGCAACATGAAATGAATAAGCAGCCATGTAATTCTCAAAGAATATGTACCAACCTACTGGAACTGGAGCACCTTAAACCCTACAAATTCCCGGCATGATGTAACTTTCCATTTAGAACTTATTTATAGGAATTTTATCTTCAAATTAATTCAGGGAATCCAATATTTTGTTCGTTTGTCGTCAGCTTCTCATATTTCCAGAGGAATACTTTCATGAGTTTTAATATTTCTTTCTGGAGGGTCATGACATTTGCTTATCTTATGTTTAACCCACTTTGCTTTGCTCTGACATACTCAAAACTTGTTCACTATCCGCACTAAACTAAACGACTCCTGCGGAGATAATAAATATTTTATTGCAGTCACGTGTACTTGGCGATAAGACAAAGTGGAAAAAATTCTGCAAATAATGTGATGCACTTTTTCCACAAGAATGGGTCATTAAATATGCATAAGGATGCGAATAGGTGGACGACGAAATGGTGGAGAAGATTAGGTCTGAGGGAAGATAAGTAGTTTATGTTTAAGGACGACGTGTTGTACAATGTGTGATTGCAATCTAATTACATTCTATGCATACAGTTTCCCAAATTAGGAGAAAGCCAGAAGATGACGACATGCGAGTGTACATAGAATGCACATACCAGGTTAGGATACGAAAATTGCTGTTCAAGGTGAGAAATCCGTCCTACGATTCAGTTGATGTGAGTGAGTGAGAGAAACACAAGCGTTAACAAGGTTTGTGTGTTCACTGCCGAACAACAAACTAAGGAAAAGTATGGTGAAATGTACCACACAGATTTACGGATGTCGCTAAATTGGGAACAAGCTAAAGTGCAAGTTCAAGAAACAAACAAGCACAAATAAAATCCTTGTAAAAACGGAATATAAAAAAGTGGCGAAACCAAATATGTATTTTTCTTAACTTCATTTAATCCGCAGTTGAATACTAGTTTAAAGTACCTCCCAACGATACCTCTAT